CTGATACAAGACAAGTCATTAAGATGACAACGATGGCGGGAGTTCGGCACGATGAAATTGTTATTAACGATTTTAGTATCAATAACACGACATTGAATGATTAAGTGTTGTTCCTGTTGGAAGGGGATGACGTTGGGGGTGGAAACAAAGGGGGGAGGTAGGGGGTAATGTGGATTTCAATGGAATCGAAATTACGGAATGATATCCTAATCAGGTCTCATTGAAGTTAATTCTCTAGAAAAATGAAGAGAGACACAACGAAGATAAACGATTTCGGTGGAAACGGACCTGTCAGCGTGCATATCCTTCCACGTCAGACGTGGTCCGGGGAAAACCCAGTCTGGAAAGACCTATTTGGGAAGTTTTCTAAATGACCATTACGTGGACGTAATTTATTGAACAGTGGGTGTCGCAATACAGGAAAGCTGGGCAGACATCTTACTCTATTCACACAACCCTGCCCAATAGGACAGGCTAAAGGATCCCACCTACAGTTTTGTTGTCATGGGCACTTAGACTGCTACCCATTATTGGACAGTATCAGAAAATTGAAACGGTTGTTGTTGTTGTTGTTCTTCTTCTTCTTCTTCTTCTTCTTCTTATTATTATTATTATTATTATTATTATTACTATCCCATTATAATTGTGCCTGTCCCTTCCTTCATTAGTTCACACGACCGTTTCGCCCCGCCAGTACTTCATAAATAATGGACTATTCCGTTTTGATCACGTGAAAGGACGGGGAAAGTCACTATCTGGTTTTATTTAAAAAAAAAATGAACGCATGAAAGAAAGAAGGGAAGGTAGGAGTGTTTAAGATCTCTTGTCAACACCTCATAAGTACTGCACTACTCTGTTTTGATCGCATGGAAAGAGAGGTATAGACACTACTTGGTTTCAGTGAGAAGAAGAAAAGAAAGAAAGAAAGAAAGAAAGAAAAAAAGGAAGTAGATAAAAAAGGATGATAGCAGTCTTTACCGACTCCTGCCAAAACATCATAAATATGTACTATTCTGATTTGGTTTCGTGGAAATTAAAGAAAAAGACACGACGAGGTTTCAGTGAGAAGAAGAAAGAAAGAAAGAAAGAAAGAAAGAAAGAAGTCCTGTCAATTCTTTTATAAGAAAGAAATTTTGAAAAACAAACAAAAATCCATAAATGTAAAAATGAAAGAATTGTCCGTCAGACGTTTCAATAAACCATTTTCAAGACAAAATTTTAAAATAAAATTCAGTTCAATATGACGGATGGACATAAAAACACAAGTTTATCCAAGATATCTGTTTTTATCCATTTACACTTGATATATAAGAACGGTATATTGGAATGGGGGTGGGGGGTATACAACCCAGTTTCAGCGAGAAAATAAAAAAAGAAAGAAACAGAAGATCGAAGTGTTAAACTCTTCGATCTCCCCTTTTTTCTTTTTCTTTTTTTTAATTTTCTCACGGTTGTTTCAATGAAACGGAAAAAATTGTCAGTTTCAGTTTTTGTTTCATTTGTACCCCCTTACTTCTTAAATAACAGGCAACATTTCATAATTATTGTTTTTATTGCGATATTTGGTTAGAGTTGTTAAGTTCAAATATTTAACGAGACGACGAGGGAATTTCTACGAATATTTTATTGTCGTTGAACTCGCGCTGAACTTATCCAACCATTCAGATTAAGTTTCATCAGAAATTTAAAATAAGAAAAACGTGAAAATTTCACAGGTTAAAACTATGGACTACGTGTATGATGGCCGAAGATAAGCAACATCGGCCCTGGTCAGTACCTAAAACGGTGACCAATTGGGAATACCAGGAGCTGTAAGTATGGATGTACGGATGGATAATGGTTCGAAATTGTTAATCACAGAGACGATTTCCAATTCCCGTTGGGTTCGTTATATTGACTTACGCACGAATAGCCTTGGGAAAAGCACAAATCCAACACTTCTCCCCGAGCTATGGGTTAATTAGTAAGTATTTTATCACTAAATCATTCTTATCTAAAAAAAATTCTTACAATCTAAAGATTGTTCCAGGCTTTAAATAACCTGCAAAGAGTTGATAAATCATAAAAACGGATCAATAATTCCATAATTATCATGTCTCTAAATCTTAGCACATAACTTGGTCTGGTAATTTTCTTCACGATCATACAATGTCTTCTTATATTTAATAGTTATTCCTTTTATCACGCTTTCCTTTACTACGTACCTAACGGGCTTGTGCAAATGGTTGGCGGAACAGAGATTGGGAGAGATAGCGAAAGACAACATTTGCTATAGGGTACTAATGACAGGAAATTATGGAATGTCTTGCTCATCCACGACCTGGATGAACAATGCACATAGAATAAGAAGACGTTGTATCCTCACTTACTGTTGTGGATTCCGAGATGAATTCGGTCTCCAAGGAATGACAAACGCAATAATTAAATATAAGAAATAAAATGTATTTACACAATCATACAAAAAGTAATATTGTTAGTAAATCCAAGAACGCGGTTAGTAGCAAATATAGATAGATATATACAGTCTCAAAGTAGGGCTTCCTTAGAGTTTACGTGCTTGTAACTGACTTCTACAAGAGGTTACCTCACACTATCTCCGTTCGTATTTCTCTCTCTCTCTCTCTCTCTCTCTCTCTCTCTCTCTCTCTGCAGCACTCCAAGTAACACTGGTAGAGTCCACTTATAGGAAAACGGGGAGGACCCCATAACACTAACTGCTTTAAATATGCGTTCGATGGTCAAAGACACATCAGCATGATATACGCAAAATATATGGCGGTAATTTACTTCGTTATATGAGGTCTACCTTCCTATATTGCAGTGGATGCTGGGCAACTGGGTCACAAATTAAAAAAAGAAAAAGATTTGAAGAAAAAAAGATATTTAGAGTAACATGGACAAATCATGTGACAAATGAAGAGAGTCCTGGGGATGACGATAAACTACATCCGGCAGCAAGTCCTCCGATCGGGAGATTGGAGGTTGTGAGAAGTTGTTAATTGCTGTTGTGCCTAGGTCCAACTTCACCAGGGGTAGCAGCACCTGTTAGGGTCTCAGCTCTGGGCAAATAGAAAACAGCTAAACAAAAACAAATTACTATGAATGTATATATTACATTTTTATGGTAAAAATAACAGCAATACATTTTTATATAAAAAATAACCAATGCATATTTATAGTATTATGACCAACAATGCATTTTATCTGTAGTTGAAAGCATACAGTTCCGTTCAAAATGTATTTAGTTGAAGTCATGAAATTGTGTTCAAAATATTTAGATTTCGGCATTAAATAAGCCACAGAAGATGATATGCCGCTAAATAACATCAACCAAGCAACAATATATACTTATAGTAAAAATGACCAACAATACATTTTATCTGTAGTTGAAAGCATACAATTGCATTAAAATTATTTAGATGTCGGAATTAAATAACCCATATTGATTGATATGCCGCTAAAAAAATCAACCAATAGGATGAGATGATTTAAAAATAAAACGAATAATTAGTTTTGGTTGAGTCTTAATAGTTATTTTATGTTTCTTTAGAAACAAAATATATATATTTGTCTATATTTCTGAGATGAGGTATTATGTACATTATTTACATTATTCAGACTATTATCCTCATCTTAGTCGCCATATTTATCACAACGATTCGGCCTTTTGCTATCTGTCTATATTTCTGAGATGAGGTATTATGTACACTATTTACATTATTCGGACTATTGTCCTCATTTTTGTCGCCATATTTATCACAACGATTCGGCCTTTCGCTATCTGTCTATATTTCTGAGATGAGGTATTATATACATTATTTACATTATTCAGTCTATTGTCCTCATCTTTGTCGCCATATTTATTACAACGTTTCAACGTTGGACGCTTCGGCCCTCTTCATGTAGTTGGAATATCGAACTGAACACTTTATTTCGCCCACTGTAAATCTTCTGAGCTGACCAAGCATATAAATGAATACAATATGGGAACCAGTAATAAGGAGTGCCAGAGAAAGGAGATAATAACAACAATAATTGCAATATGAGCTCTGGTAAAAACATGGATGATAACAGCAAAAATTGCTATATGAACACTGGTAAAAAATAGTTGCTGAAGACATTAGGTTTATAATACCCAGAAATTCATACACAGATGTCCACAAGGATACAAGGCACAGTGGATAAAGGCGTTAGTTAGATCCAGTGACAGGACCCAAAAGAGTGTGAGTTCAATATCCGGTTAAGGCAGTGGAGAACTTTCAGAGGGGAATTAACAGGAGATAACTGATAACTGACATCCATTAAAACATGGCACGTGGAACTAGAAGAGTCTACCCCAGTAAGAGAAATAAAGGGTTCAGTTCGACATTCCAATTACCTGAAGAAGGCCGGAGCGCACAACGGCCGAAACGTTGTAATAGATATAGCGACAACGATGAGGACAATAGTCCGAATAATGTAAATAATGAAAATATAGGTAGTTTAGAGAGCCGTGATCATTTGTGTCCTGAAAATATACAGTACTCTGACTATTTAGAATGGTAAGGTAAAGAAGGACATTAGACAGTTCGGATTCATTCTTAATATTTCCCAGAATTTGCAGCCGGAGGATACTGTCCTGAAAGAAATGATATGAGTCTTTCTTCTTTTACTCACTAAGACGACAAAATGTCAAGGCAGAGTCCAACATGACATTTTGATGACCTCATCCGGTCACAAGACGAATATAATACAATAACGAATTTAAAAGTGTCTATAATATAACAAATGGTATTCAATAAGACTTGGTGTTCTCTCTCCACGTACTAAAAGAAAAGAACTAAAATCCCTACGAACGGGATAATAAGGACTGACCGATGCCGGCGGCTAGAAATTACGGTTGGTTCCGTTTTCTAGGAATCAGTAACTCAAGAGACAAAGAACACCTGGTACTGTTCGTTTATTCTAGAATGAACGAACTAAGAAGCTGGTGGACAATGGTCAAGCTGTAGCCCCGAGGCATGTGGACTCTCATCAACACTGTCGCTTATTTCAGTTAGTTAGCGATCGATCCGAGTTAAACAAAGTGGATTATGGTCAGCACAGTAAACCAAGAAACAGTGCTAAAAGCAAAACCAAGGTGAGAAAAGAAAGACGATTTATAAAAAGGTAATAACGAGTCTAACTTTAGGAAAGTAATGAGCGATTTTTTCTTAAAGAACAGCTTCAGGATATAGAGATTCATGGCTCTTCACAGCGTTTTTTTAACACACCATCCTCTACTAAATGCTCTAAAAAATAGGATACACGCTAAACCTTTCTAAAAGCAAAACAGCGATCTGGTGGTGGAGTGAAATCTGTGATGACACCAACCTTGAATTCATAAGAAAAATTTAAGTAGAATTAGTAAATACTAAACACTTCAAATATCTCGGGGTGTGGATCAGTTATGACAAATTTAGTATTGGAGTTAAGGAAACTGAGCATAGAGTAGGCTGCACTAGAGGTAATTTGAACTGTAAAATGATGAAACCATGCCTTGGTGTTTGGATCATTTATAACAAATTTATTATAGGAGATAAGAAAAGTGAACATAGGCTGCACTAGAGGTAGTTTGAATTGTTAAATGATGAGACCTTGACTTGGTGTATGGATCAATTTTAGAGATGAGGACATTGAACATAGAATAGTCTGAGCTAGATGGAGTTTGAACTGTAAAATGTTGAGACCTTGCCTTGGTGTGTCAATCAGTTATAACGAATTTAGTATAGGAGAAAATTACTTTTGAATTTAAAATTCTCATCGTCTCTCGTTCTCGCCTATGTAGTCATATCTACATAAACATAAACTTAAACTAATGAAGTCCTAAAGTACGAAACGCGTCACAAGATAAGCTTTTTTTCCAATATATATATATATATATATATATATATATATATATATTAAACCTAGAGAGCCAGACAAACCTACCAAGGTTTCACCTGAGCGGATCGTCAGGAAAGGCCGGCTTCCCTGATGGTCCGCTTAGGTGAAAACTTGGTAGGTTTGTCTGGCTCTCAAGGTTTAACTAGGTCTGCTCTCCTCATTGTATTGAGCACTTTATTTAGTTGTTTTGGGTACTCACATCGGGTTTTTTTTTTCTTTGGCCCTTGAACTCATATGCTGGACGATTATTTTCGGTTAACGTACATGTTCTTGGTTCTTTCTTTTTTATACCTTTTCCCCCCTTTGGTATTGGCTTGTTTATTTGCAAATCAAGACACCGAAGGTTTACCGATTGAGTATAGTTTATTATACTTATAAGAGTTCTATTAATATATATATATATATATATATATATATATATATATATATATATATATATATATATATATTTGTTTGCGTATGTATGTGTGTTTGTTTTTTTTTGTGCTATATGTGCGTGCGCGTGTGGGAATGTGTGTGGGTATTGTTGTCCAACAGAAAATGAGAGAAAGTTAAATAGAATTATATAGATGACAATAATATTTGATCAAATAGGGATCTTATCACAACGCCATCATCCTAAAAGATGTTCGTGGTGTATAGTTTAAAGTCTTTAAATATAATGTCAGATGGTTATAATAGTTGGTTATGAAGGCGTTTTTGTTTTAGTAATATTATGAGTGCTCCTTCATCTCGCTTTAATTTCTTCGTCATCTCCTTCACTTTGTTATTTTCTTTCTCTCTCTCTCTTTCATTCTCATATAACCATTCTTTCTCTCTCTCTCTCTAAATCCCATCGCATCCTTTCATCTTCCCCCCTCTCTCTCGGTTCTCTATCGCTTTCTCATACTCAATGTTACATCCTATCTCTACCTCACTCTTCTCCCTTTCACTTAAGATTCATTGTCATTTTTTTCTCATTTCACTCTCTTTATCTCCATCTCATTTCTTTCTTTCTTTCTTTTGATTCCTGTCTTTCTTTCTTTTATTCTTTCTTTCTTTCTTTCTTTCTTTTGATTTCTTTCTTTCTTTTTCAGAGTTCAGGTTCATATTCTCTTTTTCATTTTTTTCTTTGTATTCTCTCTTTTTTTTTTTTATTTGTGCCTGACTTTCATTTTCTTTTCCTTTTTTTTTTTTACTTTTTCTCATAAACCAAACCATTTTTATTTCTCCTTTGTCTTTCTTTTCATTTTCTATCTACGTTCTTTCTTTTCGACTGGTTTTATCCTTCTTTTTTTTGTCTATTTCTGTCATTCATTCTCTCTTCTTTCTTTCTTTCTTCTTTCTTTCTTTCTTTATTTTTTTAATCATTTTTCTTTCTTTTTGTCATTCTTTCTTTCTCTCTACCATTCTTTCTGTTGAGGGGTCCACACCTTTTTACACAAATGGACTCACCCAGTATATACATATACTACGGCTACGTGAAGAGAGAGACAGAGCAAGACCGAAGAGTCGAGTCGAGTCCAAAGTGACAGAGTAAAAGGTTGTAGGTAACCGGAAGAGTGAGGGGGTGAGATAACAGCGTTGTAGGAGTCACAGTGAGCGAGCACGTAGACTCAGTAAGAAGTCATACAGCGATACTTCAATACCAAAGACTGTATATATATATTTTGCTACTAACCCGTATTCCTGGAACTACTAACCTGCTTTACCAGTTTGTATTATTACGTTAATACATTATGTTCCTCTATTCATTTCTGGCGAATCCACACCACTTTCTTTCTTTCTTTCTTTCTTTCTTGTTCACTTTTATTGTTTTTCTTTAGTTTTTCATCTTCTATTTCTTTCACTCCTAATAATTTTCTTTCCTTTTTTTCTTTTTTAGATTCCATACTTTGTATTTTTGTCACTTGAAATATTTCCTTTCCTTTCCTCAGTTTTCATTCTTTCATCATTATATCTTTCTTTCCTTTTTCTTTCTTTCTCTCTGTCCTTTTGTGTTTTTCTTTTTCTCTTTCTTTTTAACTGTCTCTTTTTCCCTTTCTTTCTTTGTTCCTCTGTTCCTATTTTGTATTTATTTTTTTATTGATTTTTCTATTTCTCTCTCAATACTTCTTTGTCTCTTTCTTTTTTACTACTTTCTTTTTTCTTTTCTTATTTTTTACTTACCCCCTTTGAGATTTTCTTTCTGTCTTTTCTATCTCTTTTGTTTCTTTCTTTAAGTTTTTTTCACTGTTTTACTTTTTTCTTTATTTTTATCATCTGTTTCTCTCATTTTTTTTCTTTCGATTTCTTTTTTAATTCCTGACACTTTTTTTCACTTTCTTTTTTCATTTTTGTATTCTTTTTCATTTCGTACTTTCTTTCTTTTCTATTGTTTTTTGAAATCATTCTTTGATTGTACTTCATTGTTTCTTTCTTCCTTTCTTTTCGTTAAGGCATTCAGTCCATCTAAATGACTCTTTTGTTTCCATTCATTTTAAATATCCATTTCATCTACGAGTAATTTTCTTCTCTGTCCAATTTATCGTTGGAGTTCCGGTTTGCTTTCCAAGAGTCATCTGTTCTCACTATGACTTGGGCCGGACAATGGCTCTAAGCTGTCCCCATCACCAAGCCCGTCCCGAAGCTGAAATAAAGAAACCTTTCTCCCACGGGGTTTGGGTTGTTCTTCAATGTGTGCAATCAAAGATCAAGAGGTAACAATCGATAACCAACTCTGACCACTAGATTATTTCGGACAGTCACGAAATAAGAAACAGATCGAATTAACCAAACATTTTATAAGTTATGTCACTAGAGTATTGCAGAGACATCATTTTGGAGTCATCATCGAATATAACAGGCACATTTAATTCGTCAAGACTTAAACGAAATAATAACAGGAATAGATTTAATGGAGGTATTATTTCTAATGTACGTACAGAGCACCCGATCTTTGAAGTGTTATTAATTTAGTAATTAATCTTCATACGATTTTAAAAAAATAAAAATTATTAATTATAATTAATATTAGTTTTATTACCAAATTCATCGTTGCTAATATAAATAGCCACTCGTATCCAAGAATACCAATCTACTAGAGCAGCTAGGTAATCCCCATAGCAGACGTCTGCTCAGGCGCATTCGTGTTTATTCAACACCCACAGAGCCCACCTGTGGTTTATACTGCAACTATGCTGAGCAGACCTTAGTTACAGTTTATGCGAGAGAGCGCGTTATCTAGCGTGATCAACAGTCTGGACAAGGTCAGCACGCTCAAACCATCGGTCACGATGACTTACACCTTTGTGCTAGCACAAACACCAACGGCTCCCAAGAGTACCCAATTTCAATCACAACGTTTGGGTCAACCTGTGATATGGTTTCCAGGTACTTTTCAAATGTGTCGCACGCTAATAATTGTTAATAATTTTCCTTTACTGTCCATTTTTTAATATTCTTCCAAACTCATAGACTATTTGCTACTTTCACACTTTTTATTTTCGCATTTAATATGTTCATTGATGGACCCGACAGTTCTGTGTCAGTTTCGGAAATCAGTTTTTAAGCCGACTCCCAAAGATGCATCCCAAATACTAAGCGGTGTATTAATATTCTCTTGGAAACAAAGAAAAGAGTACTGAACTGCTACGTGATGTCTGTTTTCATGTAGGGCAGCGAATGCTGGACATTCTCCTCACAGATAGACTTAAAACAACAGAAATGTGGTTCTACAGAAAGATGTTTTGGATACCATGGGCCGAACATGTGAGCAACGACTAGGCTTTGGGGAGAAAGGAGAAAAAAAGGAAACTTATACTGAACATCTGGAAGAGGCAGCTGACATTTCTAGAGGGCCTAATGTGGAAGGAGGGCTTGGAAAATCTGACACTCATGGGACAGATTGAGGAAAAGAGGGACCGAGGAAAGCAGCTTGAGCAAGTGGATGGCAGAATAGGGTTAGGAAGAAATAACAAAAAGATTAAACGTATTAAGAGCTACAAGGAACAGGAAAATGTTAAGGCCCATGATCTCCTACGTCTTGAAGGAACACAGCACATAAAAAAGGAGATAAATGTTTTGAAAATAATTTGTATATATAAAACTTAAGCAAACTCCATTATATGCATTTTTATGCCATTTCTATTCGGGACAGAGGAATTCATGGCTCTCCATGGTTTCTTTTACTTTAAGATTTATGATCAACCATGGCTTCTCGCGAAAGATAGTAGAATGTTTTCCAATCGCCTCCGCTATGGTTTTGAATTCAGAGTCGTCCTTCACCTTGATTGGTTAAATCCACATCTAGTGGACTCATTATAATTAACTGATAGTTGGGTAGTTAAAATATAAATTCATACCTTAAGATCGTTAAGATTAGGGTTAGGGTTAAATATAAACAAATTGTATTACAAACATTTTTAAATGCCCTGTCACTTTATGAGTTAGGCGATGATGACACTCCACATCTTCCTTCCCTATACTATTTCTGAATCACTGTGATTTGTTTGAAAAGCAGTAGAAGTCATTCCTGTTTGGTCCCGATCCATACCAACTGCTTAAAGGTCGTAGAATATAAAAACGACCCGAGTAGTTGGAAACATTTTTTTCTTTATTTTTTTTTTAAGCATTCCACCCCAAGCAAGGCGGTGAGCCACTAGCACGCAAGGGGTTACAGAGAGTTGGACCGAGAGCAAAGAGGATTGATTGAGGGAAAGGATGAAGAGAAGGATAGGGGATGGATCAAGGCAACTGGAGATGTCGATTGACATTACATTTGAATAGATGGAGATTATAGCTATCAGGGAAACAAGAAATGAGGAGGGAGATCCACTGGCGAGAAGTGCGAGACATGAAGCTATTGGAGTAGAAGAGACGGCTACATTTAACAGTTTCAACAGTGAAAGGATGAGGGCGAGATACCAGCCCAGTTGAACGCTTAAATTCATGAAGTCTGGGAACCAGCGAATGCAGCTCATTGCAGCAGTTACCATGAAAGTATTTGTAAAAAAGACAGAAGGAGGCAACGGCACGTCTGTGAGAGAACGGCTGCAGACGAGATGCCAGATCAGGGCCAATTGCATTGTTTATCTGTCTCTGGATTTTATCAAGGACCTTGAGACAAATAGAAGGTGCACCAGACCATATATGATAGCAATACACCATGCAAGGGCGAATGGTTGATTTGTAAATTTGAAGGATTGACTCCGGCGAGAAAAATTTCCTGGCGCGGCACAGGGATCCGACTTTCCTTGCGGTGGACGAAGCTATTGACTCAATGTATTCATTCCATCTCAGGTCAGCGGACAATGTGAGACTTTATAAGCATGTGTAGTATAAGACTAACCCAAGATGACACCGGAACATATTTTGCCCTCAGTTTTTATCTCTATCCGCTTCACTTATCTGCTTGGTTGCATATCAACACCTCTATGGGTTTTTTAATGTCGAAATCTAAATATTTTGAACGCAACTGTATGCCTTCAACTACAGAAAAAATGTATTGTTGATAATTTTACTATAAATATGTATTGTTGGTTTGTTTGATTTTGTTTAGCGACATATCAACCATTATGCGTTATTTAATGCCGAAATTTACATATTTTGGACATAATTTTATGGCTTCAACTAAATATATTTTGAACGCAATTGTATGCCTTCAACTATAGATAAAATGTATTGTTGCTCATTTTACTTTAAATATATATTGTTGATAATTTTACTATAAATATGTATTAGTTTGTTTGAATTTGTTTAGCGACATATCAACCTTTATGTGTTATTTAATGCCGAAATCTCCATATTTTAAATACAATTTGATGCCTTCAACTACAGAAAAAATGTATTGTTGTTCATTTTGCTTTAAATATATATTGTTGATAATTTTATACTTTCTGGGTAAAGTTCTATTTTATTTTAGACATATAGATTGTAGATAAAAGGTATTGTTGGTAATTTTACTATAAAAATGTATTTTTATATTATTTTGGTGTCACTTTCCTTTAAAAAATCTATTGTTTCTCATTTTTTTATGTAAATGTAATGTTGATTTTTGTTTGTGAGGGATTCATTATTTGGCCATGGTCAAGGTGAATATGGAAACAACAGCGATTAAGATGTGGTTCCATGCTCCGCAAAACCTCCAATCTTCCGATCGGAAGCTTTGCTACCGGATGTAGTTTATCGTCATACCCAGGACTCTCTTCATTTGTCACATGATTTGTCCATGTTACTCTCAATATCTTTTCTTCTTCAAATCTTTTTCTCTTTCTTTTTAATTTGTGACTCAATTGTCCAGCATTCACTGCAATATAGGAAGGTAGACCTCATGTAACGAAGTAAATTACCGCCATTAATCACGTAACCAGGTGAATACATATGGCGAATAGCGTGATATATTTTGTGCATATCATGCTGATGTGTCTTTAACCATCGAACGTATATTTAAAGCTGAAATGTGGATTCAACGTCTTATTCTTTGTGCATTGTTCCTCCAAGACGTGGACGGACATGGCTCTCCACAATTTCCTGTGAGTATCAGATTTTCCAAGCATTCTTTTCTCATTATGTGCCCTCAAAATTTCACTTGTCTCTTCCTAATGCTAAGTATAAGTGTTATTTTTGTTTCCATTTTCTCTAAAACATCGTTGTTGCTTACATGTTCACTCCATAGTATTCTCAGCATCCTTCTGTAGAACCACATTTCTTTTGCTCCAAGTCTCTTCTTCATCCTAAAAGAGAAGGTCCATCATTCACTGCCATATAGGAGGACTGATATTACATAAAAATTCAGTACTCTTTTCATTGTTTCTAACGAAATTTAAATTAATTAATTTCTTAATCAAGAGAACCATTTACACAAGCTCGTTAAATAGGTTATGCACTGCTTTCCTCAGTCCCTCTGGTGATATCTCCTTGGAAGTAGGGAGTCTCTAGCTTATATCTTCCTAGACGAAATAGTATTTTTTGTAATTGACTGACTAAGGCCTGTTGCAAAGTTTTGCATTTATCATTTTTAACTCTAATCAACAACTATTCTCTTTTCATAAATCGTGATAGTTCGACATTTCTGAACTTTACAGCTATAAAACCGCCATTCTACTGACACTGGGATGAATAACCCTCATTATCATCGTGCACCATTGCTAAGAAGGTCATTACACTTAGATTCTTCCCTAGAACAGCAACTTTGTCGAAGAGACAACTTCAAGTCTTGGATTAACTCTTATCTCTCCTGATTATTCTGCACTTATTTCCTTTTTGTACCTCATCCGGTAACACTTTAATTTGAGTCAGTCTTGGGTCTTGTAATGACTGAACATATCTTAAAATGAAATTCATAAATTTGTAAAATTATTTTTATATTGGACTTTTATTTATTCATTTTCCTCCTGGAGCAACCTGTTTATATTGAATCCGATATTTTACATGCATCTAGGACATGCTACATTTTAATTATTAAAATTCGAATATTAAA